GAAGAACTTTCTGAACTGGTGTACATTGCTGCAGTAAGTTAGAGTACGGGACAAATATATTTTATTCCACTCGAACTTTTATTGCACCGGTATACACCGATTTAGGAAGTTCGTCAAAAGAAAAAAATAAACAGACCTTATATTTGTGACAGTCTCTGCATTATCGATGCTTACCGACTTCTGCTTCAACGGTTCCAAAAATCCCACACGATGATCGCACGTTTATCCAATCAGCATTCTTGACAGTCCATTTCAAGATTTCACTTTCATATTCCGTATTTAGACACTCCCGAGGACGTTAATCATGCGAGAGTCTCATCTTCGACGAATCGAAATCGCGAAAAGTACAAAACGGTTGTGAAGTCCGAATGATCGTGAACCGCTCCGTTACGATTAACTATGAAAATAATGGCGATTGAGATTCTCGAAAAAAAGAGAGAACGACGCGCACATTACTTCACTCGATACTACCGAGGACCCATTCCGCGAGATACTCGTTTTCGATGCTCGCCTTCCACGGTATTTTACGCGCGATTCATCTTCGGCACTCCCGACGGCATTTCGCGAGCGAGATTGATTTCGAGCAAAAAACATGCGACCTGGAAGGCGGACGCGGTCACGACGACGATCGCGCGACTTTGCTCGACATTCCCGACGGCAGTCTCACGGAGACGTTCGCACGTTAGGCCGGCAACACACAGAGAAACATGAGTAGCAAACAGGTTAACCAACAACACCCGATGATTCTTTTTACGACCAAAGAACAATCGAATAAGTCAATTTTCTTACTGTTTACGTTTTTCTGTATGTCCTCCGCTCGAATCTCACCACGAATACCTCGCCACAACGTGCGGAACTTGTTCACGGCGCTTCTGACGGTGATCCGTGCTGAGGCTCTCTGTCGACGAGCCGAAAGACGCGGGAGATACGGAATAACTGCTTGACGTCACGTACTGCAACGCCACGATCCGCCGCGCAACTAACCGAGAGCGACGGTACCGAAACGTGTACAACTTCACACGACATTCCCGAGGGCTATTACGTTGTAGATATTCACTTTTGATGGATATATCACCACGACAAATGCATGTAACTTACAGCCGTACACACGATAAAAACAGAAAGCGCGAGATCTAAGAATCACGCAGAGACAGGAAGCGAAAGCTTTCTGTATCTCTGTCTTTCTCTTGTCGCGCGATTCAGAGAGACAGAGAGAGATAGAGAAACAGATAGGACTTTTTCGTCTTCCGTTTCTTTCTGTAGAACCTAATTTAATGAGAATTTTGGATATATGATCTATTCTTATTACGTCTATGCTCTCAGCATAGTCGGAGATAACTCACCCCTCAGCTCCCCTTCGCCCTTCCTCACAACGGATAGAAAGATTCGAACTCCGTGTGACGACGAACACCTCAACCTTACTCGCGACATTCCCGGTGAGCCGGGCTGCGTGATATCCGATTATGATACGACAAATGCGCGAAGTTCATCGTCGACACTCGCGATGACGAGGATTCCGCGGAACTCGTAGCCAGAGAGCTGAGATCGCGACGGACACAGAACGACTCTTTGACTCTGCGTACTGCAACGACGCGATCCACCCCTGACTGGCGGTTGCGATTCTCGAAGTGCTGAAATGCGCACAACTTCATACGGCATTCTCAGCACGGCCAGTAGACGGGAGAAGATATCCGTATTCGGTGAATGATACATCGTCGCGATGAATATATGTGGCTTAAGCTTTGAAATCACACACTTGATGCTTTCTTGCATATAAAATCGCGCTATCGCGCACTGGAAGATCTACTCAATGAACCGAGCCGTCGGTCAGCATGAATGTTAGGAGGCATAAAATACGTGCATAATGCGTTTCTATTTTTACTCACGATATATCCGGAGATCATTCGACTTTCTCCCGAAAGATTCGAACTTTGTAAGGCGACAAACGCACGTAACCTTATTCGACGCCCTCGGCCATACGGTGAGACTTACGCGATTACTTACGCATATTTCAGCATGATAAACGCGGAAAACTAATTCCCGGCAACCACGACGGAAATTCGACAAAATTCTCATCCGGATGTCGGAGTTAACGTCGCGAGAAATGGACGCACGAGACGGTTCGTCAAATACGAATTGGCGCGTTGCGTTACGTCGTGTAACTAGCGCTGTATACGGCAGTGAAGGTGTTCTCCAATCAGAGACGATGTGTGACGTCATGTTTTCGCGGCAATTTCGTTTCGTAATGATACGAATTTAAATCGTGCTCATTACGCATTTGTTGCATTCTTGAGTCGTTGGAAGCAAATCAGTATCTTCCTCGAGAATCTCGTACGAGATCGCACAAGAGATCGAGTTGCGTGAAACTTTGAAAGTAGAATATTTAATTTGCGACAATTTATCGATTTTATCATAGTAAGATATCGAGCTAGTGGCAATAAGCACGGGTAAATATGTAGCTAAGTAAACAGACGATATCAACAAAGATATTACAGCAGTTACCTTGAGATTCTTGTAGATGCTGGCGAATTGCAAAATTGTTCGCTTAGAACGCCGCTAGGCTAATAAAGCCTTGAATATTCTTGATTAAAATTATCGATTTTTATTCTTTTCGTGAGAAAAATCTTTCCCCAACGTCTTTGCTCTTCGATTCTTATAGAACATAAAGCGACATGTAAAGAGTACACGATTCGGCAGACTTGTTTCTCCTGTATGCATTCGATCGACTTTTCTCGATAGCTTTCTTCTATCAGTCTGCTCTTTATAAAAACATTCCAACATAGTTGAATTCGGTGGTCCGATGCTTCTCAGGAATCATCCCCGGCAGATCGTGTGTGGATGTTAAGTTCTCATGACTACCGTAGGATGTACGATTGTCTGGATCTGGATTGCCTCTCCCCAAGTGCGATTCAAAATAAAGTTCAACTATGTGTGTGACTGAGCTTTGAGACATTACGAAGCAGACAAAAAACAAATTGTGACTAACTCTAAAAGAGGCGACTAGATAAGAACCTTTACTCACGTTGGATTGCTCTTAGATCTCTCTCTTTCTAAAGATGAGAGAATGTCTGTCTTTCCTTGTGATATCTTAGGGACTAATGCCAAGTTACTCGTTGGAACGTGGAATAGCCGGGCTAAATCGACAGAGAGGCCGAAAGAAGCGTCATCCAAAACCTAAGATCCAAAGGGAAAACTGTTGAAACACAACAGGAAGGGAGAAGCAGATCATTATCATCATCCATCATCTTCAAGACTCTCTTTGAAAGTATGCTACCTTCATATTCGAAAAATCATGAAAGTATGCTACCTTCGTGTTTAAAAGTTGATTTGAGAAGAACCGACGATTCTGTCCGATGTGTAGCTGGGAACAGCTTGGAATCTGTTGAAAGATAGAAAGGTTTCTAGCGAACTGTAGAAGCGACGTGGACCACTATTTTTTACATTCAGATATTGGATTTATTCGACGCTAATCACTTTGCTCGCGATATTTTCCTTAGTCTGACTTAACCTACAATATTGATTGATGAATTCTTTCTCTTATTTTCAACATTTTTTTATTAATCTTATTTACCACCGTCTTTTCTTTTCCTAATTTTGTTTGATTCTTTCCTTTTATTTGTCGTATGAAAACCCTGCTGTAAAAACTTGCATTTACGTTTTTTACCGATGTCGCGATTAAGCATAGGTGTTTTTTTCGTTTCGTGACCACGGTAGCGTTTGGTTGGTAGTTTGGTCCACTTAACGCTCGCAACGCCTCGAGCAACAAAGATAGAATAACGCTCGCGGTGAGCGTTAAATGGATCAAACGCTACCGTGGTTACGAAACGAAAAAACGCCTCATGTTAACCTGTTTCAGCCTTAAAGTGTCGTTTGAATGTTTATTTCGTTGTAATATTTAAATCATTGTTTTTAATGTACAATTTTAATTTACGACGAGCACAAAATATATGCGGATAACTCATTATAATGCATATTTTTCTGCATTATATTTATTAGTAAATATTTGGACGAACACAGTAGCGATAAATAAATCGTCTGGTACCATCTAATGGCGAGATGAGAAATAACCCAAACTGCAAGTGGACAGCCTGGCGCCATCTAGCAGTGTATTATAAAATTACAATTGAGATGCGATTTTAAATTAATATCTTATGGATTTTCTACAATAAGATCTAAATGCACTAATATTATTTTGGCTTTAAGCGAAACTTAAACATATATCTATCTTTATCTTTCTTCTTAAATAAATAAAGCAGACATATATCTCTTGTCTACAACCTTGCTTTAATCTTTAAGTCGTAAGATATTGACTAACTACAGTTGATTATTTTTAAAATAATCGACTGTGGTTGGTCAATTTCTTACGGCTTAAAGATTAAAGCAAAGTTATGGGCAAGGGGATATTTAAGTCTCACTTAAAACCAAAATAACTTTGGTGCAACCGGGCTTATGCCATTAATTATAAGCCATAGACAAGTTGATCAACCATAACCGATTATTTTTGAAAATAGTCGACTGTGATTGGTCAATTTGCTTATGAATAGCTAATAGCTTACTCCTTGCTACAACCTTGCTTTAATTTCTAAGCCTTAAGAAATTGACTAACCACAGTCGATTATTTCTAAAATAATCGACTGTGATTGGTCAATTTATTACGGCTTAAAGTTAAAGCATGGTTGTGGACAAGGAGCTATTGTAGAAGATCTATTAAAGATAGCGTGCTTGAAAGTGTTTGAAAGCGACGGATAGACTAATCATATCACTTTATTTTAACCACAAGTAAGAGAAACGTTTGGAAATTGTTTAAATTATAATTGGTACTATCCTCAACACACACACGATACTAGAGTTCCTTCAGTCAGAGTTAGGATAAAACATGATTTCTGATTGGTCCGCATTTTACCTGTTATTTATCGAATAATGTGGTGGAAGTGAGAGAGAAGACTGAAATGACGAATACGCTGCAGCTTCTCTTTCACTCACTCGCTTCCTCCCTACAGATGGTGGACAGTGTTTTAACACGGACTTCAGGAACTCCTAATATTTTGTATATAAGGGCGACTAGACGTTCTTCAACGACCGTGTTCAGCTGCAAGAATTAAAAGCTCGCAATCTTCCTTCACTTAAAGATACACGGCGCGGTTTGACAATCCACACCAACTGCAGGGACGACATCGGCGTCGGTGAGTGATCGAACGTAGTTATGATTAATTTCGTTTTTGCTCAACCGCATTCGCCCCATGTTGGAAAATTTAACGACGAAAGGTATAACGATCGAAATGTTATGTACAATGTATCTTTTCAGGATAAACAGCACCACTTGACGATTACAATTCACCTTTGATAACTCATTTGTGATAGAATTATATTTGTTATATATGATTAATTAGAATTATAGTATAGAAGTATAGTTGTCCTAGCAAACAAGATAACGTCAAATAACGTATTATTGACGTATTAATGACGTCAAAAATACGTTATTAAGACATCATTTGACGTCATCTTGTTTGCTGGGATATGTAGGTATATATCATACACATATGTTACCAAACTTTCTTTGGACACACACATGAAATTATAGGTAGAATTTTACCATGAGTTCTGTGGCAAGTTACATAATTATCCAAAAGTAAGTATGCCAGTATGCATTCGTTGTGTCATAGTTTCATCTAAAATGTATGATTTATATCTGGAAACAATTAAAAGTTGAAAGATGACTCAGTAAATTATATCATAACAAATTATATTAAATTGAAGAAATTGAATAATTCTTCTTTGTACATTTTTCAATTGCGATTTATTCAATTTCATAAATATCGTCACACTAACACATAATACACAGCTCTTATAGGTCCTTTGCATTTAGTTATTAATCTAAGAGTCTTTTTACTATCGTTTGTAATTTCTAAAAAATTAAATTTTAAGAGTCAATATCATCAATATACTACTAGATAACGCCAGAGATAGGCTGTTGTATGTGAGGTCTAAGCTTAATAATTAATATCTAGAATAGACGAATTGAACAAAATGCTTGAATATATATAAACTATTTTTTAATGTAGATATTAACTATTTAAACGACCTACACTATATTAAAATATATAGAAATCTGTCTGATTAAAAATGACTTTGTAATTTAATAGTATATATTGAACTGTTTTTTTCTAAAAATCTATTTCTATTTAAAAAATGTTACTAATAATTTATTATTACAATTTACACCAAAAGTACAAACCTTCTATGTAAAATTATATTATTAAAATTAAACAAGATGAAAGATATACATATTGATTAGGTTAGGTTTAACAATAAATTTTTAAGTTGAAATTATAAAGATTTACCAAAGATCAATATGTAAGTATTGAATAGTTCATCAAAGATCGACCAAAGTAATGAATAATGATTGATTTGAAATAGACTCGAGAATGACTTTAATATTAAATCTGTCCTTTTTAATTAAATTGGTGCATTAAATTATAATGAAAATGTACTTATGAAAAAATATTGAAAAAATATAGTTTTTAGTATATCATTCTAACTTATTGCACCTGTGTACATACACCAATCAGACAATGCAGCTGAAAAGATAGATCTCATGAGTATCGTTCGTCGATATCATAACCTAAAATTTAGATAGAAGAACACATTATTTACTTTCTCAGCATTTTGAGTGCACGTGTTGTAAAGACAATGCAGTTAACGATGTCAAAGACGAAATTTAATAAGGAAGCATTGCACCAAATGTTACTAGAAGAGGACAAATTTATTGCGGATATTTGTTCTATAATGCCGTTGCCAATGCACGAATTAGGTGAGAAAGTATCTTCAATCTAATAGTATAACCTCAAATTCATCAATTATATTTGGAAAGTAATTGAATCTCTTCTTTCATATGTTAATTTAGAGAAGCAAAACTGTCTACCCATGGAAGATGAGAAATCAGCAAAACAAGGTTGCTATTTTTATATTTATCCAATACTGATAGGATATATATTTGTTTTGTTTAAGATTTGTGATACTGTATGATTTAGTATCAGCCTACAATCTTAAGCTTTAAATCGTAAGCAACTGACCAGTCACAATCGATTATTGTTGAGACATAAGGAAAATAATTGACATAATGAAAATAATTGACATAAGGAAAATAATTGACATAAGGAAAATAATTGACATAAGGAAAAATTGACCGTGGTTGGTCAGTTGCTTAGGGCTTACAGCTTAAAGCAAGGTTGTAGACCAACACTTATATGTACAAACATTTTTATTACAGTCAAGATGGTTACAGTGCCAAGTAAAAAAGTGGAAAGGGCAAAAACCTTTGTAGAATTAAACACAAAGCTGGAGAAGTTGAAAGGTGTTAAAAAATTGGATTATAAGCAGAAACTTCTTAAAAAGAAATTGAAGAAAAAGATCAATAAAAAGGCTAAAAGAGAAGAACGTATGCTACAAAAGAAACTTGCTAGGACTGAACAGAATGCTGCTGGTTCTAATCAAATAGATATCACCGACAAAGAAGCACCAAAAGTTCCAAAGCCAAAACCAGTATTCAATTCAGAAGGTAAAATGGTATTCAGTAAGTTTGACTTCTCTGAGATTGGCATGAAGAAGAAATTGCCCAAAAGTGAAAATAATCCTAAAAAGATTTTGCAACAGTTGGAAGAAAAAAAAGAAAAACTGAAGCAACTAGAGGAGTCTGGCGATAAGGAAAAAGCAGAAGAAATTAAGGAAAAAGATGCGTGGAAAGTTGCATTGGCAAAAGTAAATGGTGAAAAAGTAAGTTTCCTTTAATTGTATTTATTTCATATGAAGAACAACCTTTTTCTGATGTGGTAATATCTGACATAAAGAAAATATTACACTATTTTTATTTATATTGCTATAAATTTATCGTATTATTTTTTTACATTAATTTTGTTTTGGGTAATATATATCCAGTTATATATCCAGTTTTCAGTAAGTTATAGGCTATATATATGAATTTATCATTGTTATCATTTTCTCTTGCTATATACATATCCGTTGCATTGATATATTTTTCACATAGCTTTATCTATTGTCAGGTTAAAGATGATCCAGAATTGTTGAAACGTAGTATAAAACGAAAAGAACACAAAAAGAAACACAGTGCAAAAAAATGGGATACCAGGATAGAGAATGTGCAGAAATCCAAGCAAGAGAGGCAAGATAAACGAAGAGAAAATGTCATGAAGAGGAAAAAAGACAAGAAACTGAACAAATTAAAGAAAGCAGCGAAGAAAGGGCGTGTGATACCTGGATTTTAAAGACTAACTTTTTTATGTTACTATAGCTTGTACGACAGACTCTGTGTGATACGTCAATGACGTTTTCCTTTTTTTATTAGTATACAAAGCACACATATGTGCCAAACCAACAAAAATTGGAAAATACATGTACAGAACTGATGTTTATTAAGTTTCTGTTTAATATGAATATATATATATATATATATATATATATATATATATATATATATATATAT